CCAAAACGACACGTAGTTGAGCCACAAGGGCCCGGCCACTGCACAGATAACCTGCAACGGTCCTAGCGGCGGGGCTAGGGGAGGCCCACCGCCTGGAGCCGTCCAGCGGCGGCCTAGGGCCGTCGAGCCAACGGCTCCCCTCGTGGGCCGTTGGCTAGGTCCGTGACTTCCACTGGTGCACACTGTGAGGTGCACCAGTGGTTTCTCCTTCATCTGCAATGCAAAACTAGGCAATTTTCCTCATCCAAAACATCATACAACATCAACAAGCCATCTAATAGCTCAAACACACATCATTATAGCATTTCTACCTATAAAACAATGGTTTCACAGAGCCAATACTTAAGATGGGAGTTCATGGGGTTATACCTTAGCTTCTTCTTCTTCTTGTGTGGATTCCTTTTTCCTCTCTACTCAACCACTACCTCCTTCACCACCTAAACACCTCAAATAAACAACACAACAACACTTACAAGGCTTAAGAAAAGATCTCAGAGATTGAAAGCTAGGATGGAAGTTTAGAAGGAAATGAAATGAATGGAGGAGAAAGAAGCTAGAAACCTTACTGTGATTTGTATTTCTTCTTCTACAGAGAGCTTGGAGAGGCTAATTAAGCAGTTGATGGAAACATTAAACACAATTATATGGCGCAATTATTAAACAGCCGGTTCAAAATGCATGAATGATGATTTATGTATATAACATTATAGCTCTATCATATCATCAGTTATTTACAATAATGCTAACTAGTTAGAATAGCAACACAACAACCCCAATCCAGACCACCAACATGCGTTCCCACAATTTCCTAAAAATCCTTGTCTTTATTTTCTAATTTCGCATCAATTTATGTACATAGTAGAATTCTCACCCGTGTCGCACAAAATCAAAACCTAAGTATCGCACGCCCAATCCAATACAACAGAACAATAGCACACACATATTCTAAACTTGGAGACCCAAAGCAAGGAATGCACACTCACACGATGCATGCTAAGCGGTTTAAAAAAAAAAAAAAAAGATAACCCATTCAGGGACGGAGCCAGGATTTCTAGTGAGGGGGGGGGGGGGGGGGGGGGGCGAAGAAGCAAAGGTAAAATAAGTTCAAAAATGTTCAAATACAATGTCCAAATACAAAATATCAAATACTAATATGATTGTTAAAATACAAAATACATTATAAGTTACAAAACAAAGTTTATGATGAACTACGGGATAATACTCCTCTACGTTCTCTCATCTTTTGAAATCGATGTAGAATTGCTTCATTTGAAACTTGACCAAAAATCCTTCCCAAAAGTTGATTTTCTTTTGAAAATTTTTTCCATAACTGAATCAATAAAATAAGATTTAGGGAAATTAAGACAAATATATATAAAATTAGAAAAAGTCTAAAATCATTTCACTGCCTCCACTAATCTGTAAACTGATAAACTCATTACTCATGTATTCACTGCCTCACAATTCACAAAATTAGGAAAAGTCTAAAATCATGTATTCAAAACTAATAGAAATTCATCATAATTCATAAATCAAATAATCAATTGAATTATATATTCAAAACTAATAGAAATTATACCATTCACTGCCTCACTAGTCACTAAACTCATGGCCGGCAACTCACAATTCACATTCATAATCATAATTGATAATTCATAATTTGATCAACAAATTCATGTATTCTATATTCATGTATTCAACAAAGCACATACATTCAATTGATCAAAATAAAATTAGAATAATTTGGAAAATTAGACAAATTAGGGCAAAAATAAGAACCTGACTACTGACTCAGTAGTCAGGTTCTTATTTTTGCCCTAATTTGAGTAATTTCCCTAAACAAATTCATGTATTCAACTAATTCAACTAATTCAACTATTCAAGTATTAATAATTAACAAACTAACAAAGCACATACCTCAAATACATTAAATTTATTAAACTAAAATGAGAGGATTTAGGGAAATTAGAGAAATTAGGGCAATATTCAAACCTGAGAATGAGAGGATACCTAACACGGTGACAGAACTGCGACTCTGCGAGGGGCCGAGCGGCCGAGGGCTGAGGCCGTGACTCCGTGAGGCGGACAGGCGGTGATGCCGGTAAGAAGCGGCGACTCCACTGGATCGAGGCAGCAACGTAGACCGCCAGACCAGTAGAGAGACGCACGAAAAGGAGCTCTGCGCGTGAATGACTGAAGCCTGAAGGAATAAGAAAAATAAAATAAAAATTAATATATATATATATATATATATATATATATATATATATATATATATATATATAAATTACAGCCCCAAAACGACGTCGTTTTGGGGCTGTATGATTTTGGACAGTGGGGGCAGCTGCCCTCACTGCCCCAGGCTACCTCCGTCCCTGAATCCATTGAACCCAACGTACCTATTCATATCGTAGATTGCTACCACCCCCATTATCGTCGCCCTTGTTGAGTTTGCATCTGCCACCCCCTTTCACCCCTTCACGGCTGCATACCAAGTAATGCATGCTAATTGCACCGTCCCTACCTCGCTTCATGGTACTGTGCCGAACGTCAAACCCACCACTCGTGCATAGTCCACGACGATGAGGGAGTGCATGCAACAACACCTACGACCGGCCGAATTGGTAACCATAAACACGGGCGCGTAGCAAACACTGTGACGAGCCCCGCACGAGGCTCTTCTGTGCACTGCTAACAAATAAGGCCCGATGCACATACCATGGGACTTCTAACAGATGCCGTGAAAGGGAACACGCCAGGGACGGAGCCAGAAATTCGATTGAGGGGGGCGAAGAAGTAGGACGGATTCAGAAATTTTTTCCAGTAAAAGCGAAACATTAAAACAAAAGAGATAATTTTTAAAAAAATAAATAAATTACCTAAGATTTTTTTTTTAATAACTATTACTTAAGAAATATAGTTGTAAATATTGTTGGATATGGGCGAAAAATAAATTACACATATTAAATATTAAAAAAGTGACTCTCTTGAAGCCATAGGGGAAGGATTTAAAAATATGTTAATGCAAAGATTTGAACCCAAAACCTTTCCCATTAACATACACATGCCCTACCAACAAATCTAACTTCTTACTTGTTAAACATTTACTAGTTGTTTTATACTAATACTAAAACCTATACTATATACATATATACATACAAAGATTATATATGGGGTGGGGGTGGGGTGCTGCCCCCCTTCCCCCACCCCTGGCTCCGTCCCTGGGAACACCACGTTGTAGGGATACTGAAACCCCCGACGCAAATGCACAGGGGGAGGAGTGAAGTCAAATTCACCAACCTGAATGCCCAAAAAAAAAAAAATGAAACCGAAGTTCAAAACCAGAACCTAGTAGTTGAGTGACGTCAGCAGTACAATATAAAAATTATGAATCTATAACTTAGAAATTATGGATCTATCCTGAGTTCACCATGCGCTGATGAACACGGTTCAGAGCATAACTATTGAGACTTTCTTTATTCACTAGGTGAGAGTTCAATTCTAACATTCTTGCCACGAGTAATCTTTTATAAGACATAACTTCGTACTAGATTTGTGTTCATATATTTTAAAAGACGAAAAAAAATAACAAATACAATTTTATAACTCTCAATCAAATAATAAAAATATTGTTTTTTGACTTTTAGCCAAACACCATAAAGTGAAAATGTTTTCTAAAAAATTAATCATTATTCAAAAAACATTATATTTTGTTCCAAGCGGACCCTTGGTGAAAAAACATAAATAATTGTTTTTTTTTTTTTTTACAATTATATCCAATTATTAATTTATTACAGTATATAACACTCAAATAATTCAATCATCTTGTTTTAAAGATTAATTTGTTATATATACTATCGAATAATGTACATTCAATACACAAATAATGTACTTTTAGTATATTAAAAATGTACATTAAAACATTTTCATACATTATATTTTTTAAAAATAATTTTTTGTTGTACTTTTGTGCAAAAGCTCAAGAAATTCAAGTTAGATTAAATTTGTATTTTGTCGGTAATTATATTTATTACAAAATACAAATGTTTGATATTAATTTGTTAAATTTTAGAGATTTTAAGATAATATTTATGCATAATTTGATACAATTGTCACATTTTTTCACGTTCTCGATATAATTATCACAAAATATATTTAGCTTTTTTTTCAGCAAAATAAAAATGGAGTGCGTAGTATACAAGCTACTTAGGCAAGACTTAGGCTATTCTTATCCCTGTAATACTCTCTCACTTTAAAAAATGAGTCTTAATTTCACATCATCAAATTTACAATTTCTTCATTATTTTCTTTACATCTCTGTGATATTCTCTCACTAAAGCTGCCATTTTTGCTAGCCACATATACATTTTTAAAAAAATTATTTATTTTTCCATGTAACTTAAAAAGTGGAATTTACTGGATAAGGTCAGCCTTAATCCGACTTAAGGCATAGTTGGGACCATTGTATTTTTTAAAATCAAACGGAAGGGGGTACACAAAAAATTATACAATTCTTCCAAAAGGCTGAACCCCAACCCTAAGGGCCCCCACAAAAAACTATACAATTAGTTCAACAAGTTGGCGCCACACTGGAATGTCAAGCCTATCAACAAGTGCTAGCTGATTGCGCAGACTGAAAAAAATTATATTTAAAATTGTTAGAAAACAATTATATTTAAATTTTTTTTAATTTAATACAAAATTTTCGTGTAGATCCATGCTATGGAATGTATAATTAATTACCAGAAATGTATGGTGTTTTGTACCTTAATTCACTCTACACTTAATATAATACCGGGAACAAACAATTGATTCACCTTAAACCCAATTAAGGTTGTGATAGTACATTCAAGCCTAATAAGCAATCCCACAAACTATTAAATAAAACAGAACTTCCATACTAAGAAACATCATAAAATTAAGATTCCTATATGTAAAAAATTTCTGCTTTTGTAGAGGCACGAGGGAAACGTAAAAGTTTCTGCATAATTTTAAATTTTTCATCCGAGGGAATCCAATGTCGAAGAATGATCGATAACCTCCTCAATTCCTAGAAAGCACGCAAGGAACACCTTAATAGACTGCATTTCAGACTCCAACCCTTTAAGACGGCAAAACTTCAAAGTGCAAAGCATTTTCAGTGTTCGAGCCACACTGCTGAGGTCCTCCATAAGCACAAAGTCCTCTGGATTTAACTTCAAAGACTAATAACAGAACATAAACATAAATAAGCAATCAATTCATAATTTACATAACAACTTTGGATTAAGAAATGGAACAATAATGGAATCAATCAGAATTTTATGGAACAGTTGATCCATATATACATAAATGAAGATTACCTTTAGACTTATATCAAGTTCGCATAATTTTGGGCATGATCGCAGCAGATGTATGAATGCAGAATTTTTTATATATTTTGTAAAATCACTATTTGATATATCTAGACTGAGGAGTTCAACGTTTAGTGCATGTGCATGTCCCACTCTAGTGAGTTCATCAACAAACACCTTGGAAACCAAGAGAAAGACAATTAGATCAGTTCCTAAAAAACATTTTATAAAAACAGAATTAAACAAAAAAAAAAAAAAAAAAGAGTCATCAGGCCAATTTACCTCAAAGCAACAAGTGGAACATTTCAACTTAAGACTTGATATAGATCTCAAGTCCAAGTTAGGCGGCAGAACACCACATTCTTTGCAACAAGAAAAACACTCAGATAGGATGATTTCCATGTTAGATATACAATAGTCTAACTATAATAAACCATAGTATACGAGAAACCTGACCTCGTATGATAGCGGAAGCGTAGCCGTGTTGATCTCCAGCCATAGTTGATGTTCCTGTTGTGTTGCCTCTTAACAGTAGACCGTTAGCCATGTTTTGCCTCAGACCTAGACTCAAAACCCTAGATGGTGTATTGGTATCTACTGAGCAGTCTGAGTAACGTAACTGAATGTGCTAACATCAATCATCCTGTATCCCATCAATTCAGGATCCCATCAAAAATCCCAAAATTTTGTCAAGTATACCTATGGGGAGTTCACTAATTCTGTCTTCTCCTGCCATATATAATCCAGATAACTCGCTCTAACAAACAAAAATTGAAAAACAAAGAAATCAGAACATAGTTCTATAATATGAATTCAAAAAAAAAAAACATATTTTTGGAATTCAAATTTTGTAGACCTATAACCATTAACCACTAATTTAATCTGCAAATTAAAAAATATATGCATGGAACATACCTATAACAAGAATGATTCCCACTTAGATGTTATTCACAATCTACTCGTACGCAAGAGACTATGAACGACAGGAGAGGATTAAAATTTATAAAGCAGAGAAATGAAATGGTTATATAGTGTGCAGTGTATACGCTACGCCATTGCACACAAACTCAAATTATTGAAAGATGCAACTTCAACATCCCTACACTACGCCACATCTGATCTCTCAGCAAAAAAAAAAAAAAAAAAAAAAAAAAAAAAAAAAGAGGAAAGTTAAGGACTGGGAATAAACAGAGAAAGAAAATGACAGCTCTTCTGCAGTTCTCGACGATGGAGTGAGGGAGGCAGTGTTCCATAGATTTCAACTCAGAAGAAGGACTTACCCAAATTCGCAGATTCGTAGCGTCGTCGGAGTCGCTCAGTGGTTCTTCTGGTCGCTACTCGCCAGGGATTTAGGAATTTAGATTTTTAAGAATTTGAGGGTTGAATTTTAATTTTTAATTGTTAAAGGGTTAGTTCTATAAATTAAAGTAAATATTACAGATGGTCATTTGATTATTTGATATGGAGTTTTACTATTAGGCCATATTTGGTTAGTAGCGAATCCGTCAAATTTTGACGGATCTGCTGAGTCAAAACGCCAAAGTCATTGTTTGGTTAACAGCGGTTTGGAGCAACAGATTGCTCCAAACCGTTGAAATTCAACACGCTGCATATAGCAACGTGTTGGGTTGGCGTTTTGGGAAAGGAACTTTCCTTTCCCAAAACACCCTCCACCTTACTTATTAAAAAAAAAAAATTAAACTTTGATATTATTTATGAAGCCTGAGACTTCTTTAAATAAAGAAGCCTCAAGCTTCTCTATTCTTGCCCAACCGATGTGGGATGGGCATCGGATGGGCAAGAAGTTTACAAAAAAATTAAAGGGGCGTTGAGCTCCCTTTTATAAGGGAGCCAATGCCCCTTTTTTAATTTGTGTTTCAATGTGGGACAATCCCACATCTTTTTTTTTTTTTGTTATTATTATTATTATTATTATTATTATTATTATTATTATTATTATTATTATTATTATTATATCCTTTTGGTCATTTTACATATTAACCGTCAATCTAAACCGCTAATTTTACCAAACATTTTTTTACAAGTCGCTGATACATTCCGCTGGTCAAACCTGCTAACACAATCCGCTATTCATTAACCGCTAATACAGTCCGCTACCGCTGACCGCTAACCACTGATTGCCAAACAAGCCCTAAATATACTTTCTAAATTTTGCTCTCTGATATGACAAGTTCTGATAAGCTATTTTTTTTATTGGTCCCAATACAAGTGTCTACATCAAAGTTTTGTGTATGAGAGTACAAAATGAGAATACATATAACATTTTCCTTTGATTAGTATTCTTTTTAGTCATTGACTCTCCATTCGATCAAAACTCGTATTTTAACTTTCATTTTTTTTTTATCGCAAATAATCTTTAGTTAAGGTTTTCTTTAAATAGATGCTAAATTTAGGGGTAATACTCTCAAATTAATTAATATGATGATTATGATTATTTTGAAGGGAATTATGAGATTCTCATGCATATTTGCGCCAATTGTTTCTTACCTTATTCTAAATGTTTGGTTCATGGAATAGGTCAGGAATGGAATAACACTTCTTGGAATAGACCTATTCCATCGTTTAATTGGATCATTTTGTCATGAAAATAACATTCCTAAGAATGAGCTATTACCTTCGCAAAGGGAATAACCATTCCTAGGGGGGCCTTGGTATTAGCTATTCTCATGCCCTTGGGAATAGCTTTAATTTTATCACAAATATCAAAAATACCCTTTGCACATTATATAACATTTATATTTATTTAATAAATATAATGTATTATATAAAATACAATTCATATTCTGTTCCTTACCTATTCCATTTCCCGTGGAATAGCATTCCTATTCCCTCCAAATTCATTCCGTGAACCAAACGTGCTATTAGAGTCCTAATTTCACAGTGTTATGAGAGTCCTAGTTTTTGTCCATCTCCCCAAGCAAACATGAAAAACACAGTCCAAAAATCCTAGACTAAAAGCTCATACTACACTCATCAAAAACTTCAGCATCAACAAACAGATTAAGCATTAACAATTAGGAGTTTGCATTTCAACACAGAAAGCTTGAAGTAAAAAACAATGGTGATTATTCAAAATAGCTCTAAAAAATTTTTGTTACTAACAACCTTTAATCAAATATGTACGAATTGTTGGGTAATAAGGTGGAAAAACCCTAAAATAATAATCCTACGAAAAGATTATTATTATATGGAAAAAGACAGAAACGGGAAAGGAAAAGATGGATAATTTAGATAGTGGTTAGCACGAGTTTGAACAAAACGTTCTTTTCCTTAAAACCTTATTTGCTACCTCTCACAAGTGTTAGGAGCGTTGTAGCATAGGTTTCCCAGGATAAAACGTGCTACGGTTCAACGTTTGAGCACCCAAAACGTGCTACGGTTCAACGTTTGAGCACCCAAAACGTGCTACGGTTCAACATTTGAGCACCCAAACTTTGAACCCGACGAACAAGAGCAAAGCTTAGAACACAGTAGGCTAAGGAGTAGAAACAGAGAATTTACTTAAGCATTCAAAACTGACCATTAAATATGAGGATTAATTCTGGAATTAATTCCGGTTCAACGTTTGAGCACCCAAACTTTGAACCCGGCGAACAAGAGCAAAGCTTAGAACACAGTAGGCTAAGAAGGAGTAGAAACAGAGAATTTACTTAAGCATTCAAAACTGACCATTAAATATGAGGATTAATTCTGGAATTAATTCCGTAACTAAATTGGAACTGAACAGTCGCGAACCACGCGGTAGACACCCAAAACGTGCTACGGTTCAAACTTTGAACCCGGCGTTTGAGCACCCAAACTTTGAACCCGGCGAACAAGAGCAAAGCTTGGTTAAGAAGGAGTAGAAACAGCATTCAAAGTTTGCCGGGTTCAAAGTTTGGCTAAGGAGTAGAAATATGAGGATTAATTTCGTAACTAAACAGTCGCAAACCACACCGATAGTACAGCATTAGTCTGGTAAAGAGTATAGCTCGCAAGTGCTAATGCACACAAAATTTGATTTACACCCCTTGCACACAAGAGAGAGCCACTATGCTATCCAATTCATTAAGTCTAAAAAGGACTCTTGTATAAATAGTGGGGCAAATCCTCTTCCCAAACCAATGTGGGACAAAAGCTTCACTTTTTCCCTTCATTTTTCCAACTCAAATGGGTCTACTTTGAGAATCAATATCTCATTCACCCATTATCCGTTTTGAGCGTACAATATATCAATCTCTTTGTCTCACTACGAAGAATCCGAATCCACTTTGACCCGACCTAAAAGGGAAGTGGACCCCACTGATCTTTGTACCACAAAATAGCTACTTAAAATGTCATTTTATGCCAATTTTATGCTATTTTTTCCAACACGAATTGCATTTGGTATAAATAAGATTATTTAGGTTGCTTTAGCATTGCAAATAACTAGTGTTTTAAAATTTTGTTGCTATTTTTCTTGTAAAAATACTGATGTGATGGTAAGTTTTGTAACGCAACGTTGTTATAAATATTTAGCTTGGTGTTTATGTATATTGACGCTTGTTTTTATGAACATTCCGAACATATATTATGTATTGCAGTTTTTCTTAGATATGTATACCCTAGGAGCCAACATTTATTCTTTTGCGCATTGATTTCAAATAAATATAATAAATAAATGTTTCATTTATTTTTATTTTTATTTTGTCTTAGTTAATATTTGATATTATTCCGTACAATTTTCTTAATTCTTCATTTTTAAGAGTTAAGAATATGAGTGACGAATAATTAATAAATGGAATAAGGGTCAAATAGGTAATCGAATTACACACGATAATGCAATTAGGTCACTGAACCCAAAAAAAATCTACAATTAAGTCCATAAACTAATCAATTTCAAACAATTCTTTCAATTTGAAGGTTTCGAACATGTCAACAAGTCATCCTCCCAAATTAATTATTTTTAAAAAAATAAAGTTTAAAAATTAATTATAGCAGTTTTTTCCCCACTACGTTGTTCTTTATCTCTCCACGTCGTTTGGTTTTATTTATGTGCATGCATTCCGTCTGCCAGTCATCAGCGTTTATATATATACTAGTTTTTTACGCGAATTGCGCGATTAGGATAATGCTCAATGTTTTTTTTTTTTTTTTTTTTTTTTTTTAAATAAGTACTTTAAAGTATATCAAGACAAGATTATATTGGAATTGTTCATGCATAGATAATTGAATGTTAAATTTGCGTATTTAAATAGGCAATTCTAAGATTACAAATGCAAGATAATATAGTCAAGATTGATTATAATTGTCAATAAAATAATTGTATAGGTATAGTTGAAACCAAATACGGGACATAAGGGAGAGCAAATAAAAATTAGGGCATAAAATATTAAATATACACTAATATTGAAGAGCTAATTGATGATTGCCAAACAAGGACATTCCGAGATAGTTTTTCACTTCAATTTGTTGTGTGATTTGAATACTCTTATTGTCAATAAATCTCCCAAGTAGTTAATATGATTGACTTAATTATATATATATATATATATATATATATATATATATATATATATATATTTTAAAACTATTATTATTATTATTATTATTATTATTATTATTATTATATGTATACCCTTAGCTCATTTTACATGTTAATCTAAACAACTAATTTTTTCAAATATATTTTTACAAACCATTGATATAATTCGCTGGTCAAATTCGCTAATATAATCCGCTAACGCTAACCGCTAACTGCTGATTGTCAAACAAGGACATTGCGAGGTAGTTCTCACTTCAATTTATTGTGTGATTTGAATACTATCTTTGTCAACAAATCACTCAAAGTAGTTAACATGATTGGCTTTATTAATTATATTTTTTTAATTTTTTCATGGTATTAATAAAATACTTGGTAAATAAATATATAACACTATTTTGTATTATAACTTTGATCTTTAATTAAAAAATAGTGCACAAAAAAGATAATAGACAATGTAGTGAATATAATCAATTGATGAATTTGAATGTAAAGAATTTTTACATTGGAGAAATATAAAGACAATATAACTAATAAAATTATTTCTCTTAATTAATTTATTGATAATGAATAATTTTTTTTTAAATAAAGCATTGTAGGAACAATGTAGCGAATATAATCAATTGATAAATTTGAATGTAAAGATTTTTTATATTGGAGAAAAATAAATACAATATAACTAATGAAATTATTTCTGTTATTTAATTTATAGATAATGAATAATTTTTTTTGAATAAAGACATTGTAGACACATAATTCTAAATTAAAGAATGCATATGTATTATTTTTTGTTGTAGCTACTAAATTATTACGGAGTATTTAATTTAATAACAATAAAATTGAGTACTAATTATGTCAACTTTGATTGGAATGAGGTTCGAACCCGAGACCTTTCTTATTGAAATCAATGAGTAAGTTAACGGTGAACTAACATAAATTAACGGAAAAGATAATATTTAACGGAAAAGTTAACAGAAAATCATATTCATTAAGGATAAATTAGGAAATCTTAAGGAAAAATTAAAATCTGATCAATCTGAGCCATTCATTTGATTAAAAAATTTAACCGCCATTTTTTTTACCCATTATAGGCCTAACTCTCTTGGGCTCTTATTAGTATAGTAGATGAATAATTTTTTTTGAATAAAGACATTGTAGACACATAATTCTAAATTAAAGAATGCATATGTATTATTTTTTGTTGTAGCTACTAAATTATTACGGAGTATTTAATTTAATAACAGTAAAATTGAGTACTAATTATGTCAACTTTGATTGGAATGAGGTTCGAACCTGAGACCTTTCTTATTGAAATCAATGAGTAAGTTAACGATGAACTAACATAAATTAACGGAAAAGATAATATTTAACGAAAAAGTTAACGGAAAATCATATTCATTAAGGATAAATTAGGAAATCTTAAGGAAAAATTAAAATCTGATCAATCTGAGCCATTCATTTGATTAAAAAATTTAACCGCCATTTTTTCTACCCATTATAGGCTTAACTCTCTTGGGCTCTTATTAGTATAGTATAGTAAATATATATATATATATATATATATATATATATATATATATATATATAATATTTAAAGAATTGCAATTCTTTATTTTAAACTACACTACTAGCCGTCCTAAAACTTAAAATTTCCCATATGTGCCAAGCTAGAGTTAACAAGGGTCAATCAATACCTAGACTACTCTCTTGCATTAATTTTTTTTTCAACGCCGTAACTCGCCATCAAAAACCGATTGAAAAATATGATTACTAAAAATTAGATGTTGCCTAAAGTTATTTTAAACTGGTTGAAACCAGAAAAATAATAAAAGAAAAATATGAAGAGACAAAAGTGTCCTTACTAAAAATAGAAAAAGTGATGATAAGGACTAAAAGTGTCCAAAAAATAATAATTTATGAATGTTAAATGGCAGAAAACGATAATCTTAAGAGTTAATTTGGAATTGCCACTAAAGACGAGGACCTCTGGTGGAATTAAATCAAATGTTATTTACAATTTATGGTCTTTTTCCTTTCTAATCTTTTTTTTTTTTTTTTTTTCACAGTTTTGGAATTTGGATGCCATCTCTCTAATTAATATGGGTGTTTATGTTCTAACCACTCTTAATTTCTATTCTTGCCCACAACTTTGGATGCTATCTCTCCAATATGGGTGCTTCTGTTACACCTGCTCTCAATGGCCTTTGTATTGTGATTCACATTTCTTAATGCATTTTTTTAAAGGAAAAATGGTGAAATAGGCAATCGAACTATACCTAAAAAGTCAATTAAGTCTTTAAACTTTTTAAAATTACAAATTAAGCCATTAACATTTTATTTTGGTACAGGTCACTAGGGTTCCGGAAACCCTCCGACACTATTTCTGACCACAAATCGACTAGTGCCGATTGTAGGTCACCATAGAAGAACAGAGAAAGCGATCATTTTTGGTCGCCGCCTCCGGAGAAGGCGACCATCTCTGGATTCTTCTATGGTCACCGGCGATCGACGCCGGTCGCCGGTCAATTTATGGTCGAAAATAGTGTCGGAGGGTTGCCGAAATCCTAGTGACCTACTATCACAGGTCACTAACCGATTTTTAGACTTTATTGCACCAAAATAAAACGTTGATGAGTTTAATTGCAAATTTAAAAAGTTTAAGGGCCTAATTGATCGACTTTTCATGTAAAGTTCGAGGGATTATTTGACCCTTATTTTTTTTATAATTAATTAATTAATTTATTATTATTGATGTTTGAAAGAACTAACTCATTTTCCCGAAATACTTGTGTGCGTAGAATCTTTAAATTTATGGAACATGAACATTATAACAATCTAAAGATTATTAAATTTCACAATTGTTCAAAATGACAGGACTCAAAATAGACTAAATGAAGTTCATATATTATTAGTTGAAGAGATACATAATAATTCGATCATGGTACTATGCAATAGCAAGCAATTGGAGCTCCAGGGGCCCCTTGCATACATTTACCACCAGCAGGGAACCCAGTGCTGGTACAATATTGATTACAATCTTTGTATTTCGGATCAGAACAAGGCCCTTGGTATACCAATGTTTCAGCCTGGCCTGTCATAATAACCATAACCAAAATAATTATCATTAGTCATATTTTCCTAGTTTTGTAAAAATGTATCAAATTCTAAAAACGAATATAAAAAGGGTTAATTTCATTTTTGGTCATAGATTTATAGGTGACAGTCCACTTTAAACATTCACTTTTGGTCCTAATATTATTGTGACATGACCATTTTTGGTCCTTTATCAACAAGACAGTTTAAATATCGTTTAATACAAGGGCATTTCGGTCTTCAATTATGAATTTTTTTTTCAAAAAAAATATAACGGTTCAACATACTTTATAGAAAAAAGATTGGAATGTCTTTGTATTTAACGATATTTCAACAATTTTGTTGATGGATGACTAAAAATGGTCATACCACACTGATACTAGGACTAAATGAAGATGTTCTAATAAAAAAAGACTGGCACCTATAAATTTAAGATAAAAATAAAATTAACTCTTAGATAAAAGAGCATGAAAATGAAGTTTTACCGGAATGGGAGAGCAATGCAAGCATGATGAAACCCACAAATAAGCAAGAAATGTAAAGTTTTACAATCTTTGAATTCATATTTCCTTAGTAGCAATTCTCTTCAGATGTATATCTACTCTTGTTCTGATATACACTTTGATGATATGATGTCTATATTTATAGTGATTCGCATGTGCAATTTTAATAATATTTGGTAAATTCTCCATAGAATTGAAATTGTATTACAAAATTAAAAAATAAAAAAAGCATATATTTCAATAATTGTAATTAATAATTTGTATCATTAATGGCTAACAGTTATGGTATAAAATTAATTATTACATAGTGTTCACACTAGAATATAGGGAACACAGATTTTATTATTAATATATGAATGTAATAGAATAGGGTTACAATGTTTTCAAACAAAAGAAAAAAGAATAGGGTTACAATAGTTTGGTAATCATATATATATATATATATATATATATATATATATATATATATATATTAGGAATCGACCCGAGGGCGCAAAGCAAGAACGGTCCCGGGGCGGCGCCACGTACCCGCCCCGGTCGAGGCCTCGCCACGTGGCCCCCGCACAGGCCACGTTGGAGGCCGGGACGACCTCCACGTGGGCTCAGCCCGAGCCCATGACGGGCTCGGCATGGCCTCCGCAGCCCGGCCCGGACGCGAGACCGGGCGCGGTCAACCCGGATCTAACCACCACCCGCCTTAGGGGGTGGTGGTTAGGGGTGGGGGTTGTATAAAAACCCCCCACCTTGTCTCGTTAAGAAACGATCTACTGTTCTTACATACTTTGTCCTGAAATACTAATGTAATAGCCAATTCTACGGCATTTAATACAATCTACGGTCTCACGGCCTTTGCTATATCGTTCGTATTACTTATTTATTATTCATATTCTTATCCGGATTTAGTGATTCGGGTCCCCCCGGGTTAATTAAATCCATCATTGGTGCTCTTGTTGAGAGCTACTGTACAAGCTTAAGCGCTCTCCCCACTATTGTTCATCCACAGCGATGGCACGATCGAGATCAAGCTCTCGTCATACTAATGGTTCCCGCGCCACCCAGCTCGTCGCGAACGGGAACGGCCCCAACGGGCCCCCCGCCCCCAGCATCCAACCGGCCGCCTCCACCAGGTCGGGGGAGGATATGAGGGCCCAGCTCACCAACCACCGTAGCAGTGGTGCACTGCCACCACCCCCCGTCGACCCCGCTCCGGCTCGCGCACTCATCCGGGAGGGGGTGGCGGTCTTCGAACAAGCTTCAACCGCGCTGGCGCGCGTCGCGGCGGGCCTCCGGGCGGAGGAACAAGCCGCCCTAGGCGCCACCGGAGAGGCGCCGGCGTCGCCTCCAGCTACCCCCACCCGGGGGCGCAGCGGCCCGAGCGCCTGACCGCCCCAGGCACCTGTCACCCAGGGGGAGGTCAACTCGCCTCGACCATCGGAGAGGTGGGGAGGAGGGGACTCCCGCCGAGACCGCCAGCGTGACGACGATGGAAGGGCACCAACCCAAACCAGGCCTGCCCTGGAGAGGTTGGGCGATCGCGTGACAGCCCGGGATAGGTTGGGTCCGAGGCCAGCCAACGGGCCACCGGCGGCGGAGTCATGCTCCCGCTGGCCGCCGCGACAGGGATCGGTCACTCGGAGGTCGCTGAGCCGTGGGCCCCGCGCCCAGCTGCGACACGAGGCAGCCTCGCGCGGGTCAGCAGGTCGGGTCCCCCGACCACAACCGCAACGTGAGCAGGCCTCCCGGGTCGAACGATCAGGTGAAACGAAGGGTAGAGCTCCAGGCTCCCATCGGGCAGAGGTCGAGCAGCTGCAGAGGAGGATGGACGAGCTCCAGAAGAAGATCGATGAGAGGGACGGGTCTCCGGAGCCCCAGGACGTATTGGCCTCCCCATTCGCAGACACCATCATGGCGGAGCCCCTACCTCGAGATTTTCGCTTTCCCACCATTAAAGCATACTCGGGGACCACGGACCCGCGGGCACACCTGACCAGGTACAGAGCTGCCATGATGATCACCGAGGCAACAGACACCATCCTGTGTAGGGGGTTCTTCGCCACCCTGGACGGGCAGGCGCATGATTGGTTCGGATCCCTCTCTGCGGGGTCCATCTCCACCTTCGCGGACCTCACCCGGCAGTTCCTATCCCATTTCGCCACCAGCATACAGCGGAAGAAGCAAATAGCCGACCTGTGTGATTTGAAGCAGGGGAACTCGGAATCACTGGCCGAGTATCTCAGCAAGTGGAAGAAAGAGGCCATGGGGGTCGCCGACTTTGATGGGAAGTCGGCCATAGTGATTTTCCGAAACAACTTGAGGTCAGGCACCTTTCACCAGGACCTCATCAGGTACCCCCCCAGGACCTATACCGACCTGATGGACAAGGCAGCAAGGTACGCTGACGCCGAGGCTGCCGAGAAGAGGAAGAAGGAGCAGGAGGAAGGAAGAGGTCGGAAAGACAAGGCACCCCAGGAGGAGCGCAAGGCGCCGCGCCCACACCGACGTGAGTACGCTGAGGGGCCTAGGCTGAACCCCACACGCTATCTCACCCCGGTAACACAACCTGTGGGTACCATCTTGGCGCACGCGGAGGACCAGGGAATCGTGGTGTTCCCGATGGAGGAGTGCATGAAGATATCGGCAAGGGGGGACCCCAACAAGTACTGCAGGTTCCACCGGCAGAAAGGGCACAACACAGACGAATGCATCCTCTTAAAGAGAAAAATCGAGGAACTCATCCAAATGGGTTACCTCGGCCAATTCATTAAGAGGCCCGGCCAGGCGCAAGGGCAGGCGCAGGGCCAGAAGCCAGGCAACGTATGGAGGAAGGGGGGTGGCCAGGCGCCGTCCACCTCGGCTCCCCGTAAGAGGGACCACCACGACCACAACTCCGAGGAGGAGGAGAAGACGACGGAGGACTCCCAGCCCCCGAAGAAACGGGCCATCTACGTCATCTTTGGGAGGGGACTCGCCAGCCGAGCGGAAGAGGTGGGCGAGGAGCTTGTACGTGGGGGAGGTCACACGTACCCCCACGAGAAGAAACCAAAGAGGGAGCCCATCATGTTCACCGACGCCGACCTGCCAGATGGGCCCCTCCCCCACCGAGACGCCCTGGTTGTCAAGCTGGACATCAACAACGTGGTGGTGCACCGGGTGCTCGTAGACACGGGTAGCTCGGTGAACGTCATGTACTACGAAACTTTCACCCAGCTGGGACTCTCAAGAGGACAGCTGGAACAAGTACGGACCCCCCTGTCCGGGTTCACGGGGGACTTAATTGAAACGGAGGGGTCGATCAATTTGGAGGTGGAGATAGGCACCCCACCGCACACCAGGAGGTGGGAGGTCGAGTTCGTAGTCGTTAAGATTAATTGCGCCCACAACGTTATTCTTGGTCGACCCGCTCTGGAGGACCTCAGATGCGTGATTTCTATGGAGCACCTGTGCCTCAAGTTCCCGACACCAACCGGGGTTGGGGTCGCCCGGGGGGACCAAAAGGTGAGCCGCAGCTGCTACTTGAAGGCGTGCCGCCAAATTGGTCAGAAGGACCTCCAGGTCCATACCATTGCTGAGAAGGCGTTTCGAGAGGAGGCAGGTCGACCTCGGGCCGAGCCCGTGGTCGAAACAGAGGAGGTCATCCTCGACCTCAGCTGACCCGACAGGGTCGTGAAGGTAGGGGTCGGCCTCCCGGCCGACCTACGGGCACGGATAATCGACACCATCAGGAGCTACAAGGAGGTCTTCGCATGGGGCCCCGAGGATATGCCGGGCCTGAGCCGAGACGTGATCACACACAAGCTGGCTGTCGACCCCACGGTCAAGCCAGTCCAGCAGTGCAAAAGGTACCTCTCCGCTGAGAGGAGGGAGTTCATAAAAAAAGAGGTCGACACCCTGCTAGAGATCGGCCATGTCAGGGAGGTCATATACCCCACATGGCTAGCCAACGTAGTCCTCGCCCCAAAGCCACCCACCTGGAGGATGTGCGTGGACTACACCGACCTGAACAAGGCCTGCCCTATGGACCCCTTCCCCCTCCCCAACATTGACCAGCTGGTGGACGAAACTGCAGGTTGTGCCCTTATGAGCTTCCTAGATGCGTTCAGGGGGTACCACCAAATTTTCATGGAGGAGGCCGACGAGGAGAAGAAAGCCTTCACCACGCCAGAGGGGGTTTATTGCTACAAGGTCATGGCTTTCGGACTGAAAAATTCAGGCGCCACCTACACCCGAATGGTGGCCAAGCTGTTCAAGCAGGTCCTCGGCCGCAACCTCCAGACCTACGTCGATGACATGATCGTCAAGAGCACCGACGCCGACCTCCACACGGACGACCTTACCGAGGTATTTTCGATTATGCAACGCTTCAATTTACAGTTGAACCCCAAGAAGTGTACCTTCGGGGTACACGGGGGGAAATTTTTGGGGTACATGGTCTCGAAGAGGGGCATTGAACCCAACCCCGACAAGGTCAAGGCCATCCTGGACATGGAACCTCCGAGGTCCGTCTGGGAGGTCCAGCGCCTCAACGGGCGGTTGGCAGCCCTGTACCTATACCTGGGCATCTCGCAGGCCGCGGTCAGCTCCGTGCTGGTCCGGGACGACGAGGGGGTCCAGCGGCCCGTATACTACACGAGCCGAGCTCTACGGGGGGCGGAGATCAGGTACACACCCGTGGAGAAGGCCATCTTTGTGGTAGATGCGACGGCAAAGAAGCTGAACCACTACTTCCAGGCCCACCCCGTACAGGTCCTCACAAATTAGCCACTAGATGCGGTGCTGAGGGCCTCGGGGTCGGCCAGCAGGTTGGTCAGGTGGGTCATGCGGCTGAGCCAGTTCGACATCCAATTCAAGCCCAGACCCGCCATCAAGGGGCAGACACTGGCTGACTTCATAGTCGAGTGTACCGCCCGGGAGGCCACGGAGCGGGTCGGGGATGACGACGAGGAGTGGTGGACCCTCTCAACGGACGGGTCTTCCAGCTCCAAAAGCTGCGGGGGTGGAGTGGTACTCATAACCCCAGAGGGGTTCCGGGCCTACTACGCCCTCCGCTTCGCGTTCAAGTTATTCAACAATGAAGCCGAGTATGAGGCGCTCCTAGGGGGGCTCCGCCTCGCGCTAAATATGAGGGTGGAAAAGCTCAAAATCCGGTGTGACTCCAGACTCGTTGTGGGACAGGTCACAGGTGAATTTGAGGCAAGTGATGAAAGAATGAGGAGGTACCAGGACGTGGTGCTCCAACTACTGGGGCAGCTGATCAATTACGAGGTCCTACAGGTGCCTCGGGACCAGAACACAGACGCTGACATGTTGTCCAAGCTCGCCCAAGGGGCCCCGGAACACATCTAAAAAATAGCGTGGATTGAGGATTTCAAGAGGTCGAGCCTGGACGCCTACCCGGTCCTGCCTGTGCAAGCCCGACCTCCCTGCTGGTTAGACCATCTCAAGGAGTACAAGAAAACAGGTGCGCTACCTCCCGACGAGGTCGACGCCAAGCTGGTGAAACGACGAGCCCCTACGTACGTGATCATATGGGACACACTTTACAAGAGGTCCTACAACGGCGCCTTGCTGCGCTGCCTGTACCCAGACGAGGCCAGGGCGGTCATGGAGGAAATCCACGAGGGAACCTGCTCCGCCCACCAGGGGGCCTTCGCCATGTCCCGGAGGGCCATCTTACAGGGGTACTTTTGGCCCAAAATGGCCAAAGAGTGCGCCGACTACGCCCGGAGTTGCGAGACCTACCAGCACTTTCAGGCCACCCCCGGCCGACCCGCCACGAGCTACACCCCCATCAGCTCGGTCATCCCCTTCTCCGGGTGGGGAGTGGACCTAGTGGGAGCTCTACCTATGGGGTCGGGAAAAAGGAAGTACCTCATAGTTGCAGTGGACTACTTTACCAAGTGGGTGGAGGCGGAACCACTGGCGACCATAACAAGCGCCCGTTGCAAGCACTTCGTGTACAAAAATATTTTGTGCCGTTTTGGGGTCCCGATGCAACTCATCACCGAAAACGGACGCCAATTCGAGGGGCAAGAGTTCAAGGGGTTCTGTGCAGAATGGCACATTACTCACAGCCGGGTGGCCGTGTGCTACCCCCAAGCAAATGGGTAGGTGGAGAATGCCAACCGCACCATAGTGGGCGGCTTGAAAAAGAAATATGAATCTGCAGGGGGAGGCGTGGGTAGAGGAGCTCGACGCCATTCTGTGGGCATACCGCACCACCCCCCGGAGGGCCACGGGGGAGACACCTTTTTCCTTGGCCTACGGGTTCGAAGCTCGAGCCCCAGCAGAGGTAGTCATACCTTCCTGCCGGGAGGAGGACTACGACCCCGACACGAATGAGGAGCACCATAGAACTGACCTCCACCTGATCGATGACAGGCGCGAAGCAGCTGCGATCCGAGCTGAGAATTACCAAAGGCAAACCAAAGCTTACCATGACAAGCGGGTACGACCCTACTACTTCCAAGCGGGAGACTACGTGCTCAGGAGGAGGGAGGCAAGCCAGCCCCAGGCGGGAGGAAAATTTGCTCCCAATTGGGAAGACCCATACATTGTAGCAGCCGTGGTCCGCCTGGGTAGTTACAAGCTCAAAACCCCCAAAGGGAAGATGATAGCCAGGGTCTGGAAATCAGAACACCTGCTGAAGTTCTACCAGTAGACCCGCCGCGTGAAAGGTGGACTTTGAAAAGCTATTTTAGGAGGCAGGCCATTCCCCTCCCCCAATAATGTCTTAGTGAACGGCAATAATATCACAAAATTGGTTCTCATCCACTCTTTCTCCTTAAAAAAAAATCATGAAACAAAGGGGAACGAGTGCTCACTCATGTCTTCCCCCGCGGACCCTAAGGGGGGCACGAGGTCCGACCTTGCGTACTAACCCCGACGAAAGACGTACCCTAAGGGGGCACGAGGGCTGACCTCGCGTACTAACCCCGACGGAAGAGCCCGGGGGCACAGTCCGAAAGGACTTGGCCCGAGCGGCTAACGCGTACCCTAAGGGGGCACGAGGCCTAACCTCGCGTACGAACCCCGACGGAGGAGCCCGGTGGCTTGGTCCGACAGGACTAGGCCCAAGCGGTAAGGCGCACCCTAAGGGGGCACGAGGTCCGACCTCGCGTACAAACCCCGACGGAAGAACCCGGTGGCGTAGTTCGGAAGGACTTAGCCCGAGCGGCTGACGCACCCTAAGGGGGCACGAGGTCCGACCTCGCGTACCAACCCCGACGGGGAGCCCGATGGCGTAGTTTCACAGGACTATGTTTTGGGAGGCTAACACTAGGCAAAAAAAAAAAAAAATAAAAAAAATAAAAAAAAGAGAAGAAAAAAATGCCTATCACACCCCGGCAAAACCGGGGCGCAGCAGGGCACCGCCTCGGCGAGAAGCCGAGGTGCGTCCATGGCCCCTCAAGCCATACCTCGGCACGCTGCCGGGGTGCACCATGTTGCACGCACCTCGGTTGTACCGGCGGGGTGCACCATGCTGCATGGTGCTCGGCCAGTACCGAGGCCTAGTACCTCGGCCCAATCCGAGGTTGAGAACCCCGGCACTGGTCGGGCACTCACAAAAAAAAAAAAAAAAAAAAAAAACCAACGTGGTCTCGACAACGGGAGTACATAATCAAATATAAGTCCGAAGCATATAATAAAGATCCAACATTCGAAGCATAGCAAGATAAAATAGCAGGAGTCATCAAGCAACATACACAGCAAAAGAGGGCAAGAATCCACATCCAAAGTCTATGCCCGGAAACACAAAATAGGAGGATAAACTAAAAAAAGCACGATCAAGGCTGCTCATCCAAACCCGGCGCGGTGGCAAGTGGTAGCTGCGCCGACGGTGCAACGGCGACGGTCACTCCCTCGGCCCCTTCATCCAAGTCAGGGATGTGAACGCTCAGCAAAGTGGGTGAAATAACCCCCGAGGAGGCCACCAGCTCCAAAGGCTCATCGGCGCGATCAAGGGGTGATAGTGAGAAGCCCGCCGCAGGGTTTACTAGCTCGGGGTTCTCCATCTCGGCCGGCAACTCGAGGACCACCGGGTCAAAGGCGTCTCCCTTCTGACGAAGGGCGGTGTAGATCTCCTGCTGCATAGCATACCGGCCCACCTGGAAGGCCATAGCACTCTCCTCCGCAATCGTCTCCTTCCCAGCGTCACTGGCTAGCCACGAGGCGACTATGTCGCCACTACGCCCACGAACGTACTCCTCGGCATCCCGCTCGAACTCATCAGACTTCCGTAGGCAGGGATGACCTGTCCAAGCTCCTCTGCGTGCCTCTTCCTCTCCGCCTCCAAGGCCTTCCGGGACTCAGCATCACGCCGGACCGCCTCATCGGCCCGCCTGGTCTCGGCCTTCAAGGCTCGAACCAGCTCGAGCGCGACCCTACTCATCCTTAACAAGGGCCACGGTGGACACGGCCCAACCCTGGGAAGAGGCACAATCATAACAAGACAACAACAAGGAGTAAGTGCAATAAAGGAAATCACAAGTAAGAATACATACCTCGAGGGTCCGGAGGGGCTCTCGAATAATAGCGGGCAAGCTCCGCGTCGTGCGCTTGGCACGCGGCAGCGGAGGCGGAACGGCCGGCGGTACGGGGGGGCGACTCACCTGCGGCCGCACCCCTCCCGGCGGGGGCGCACCGGGCTTAGA